TCTCCCACTGTCGAACACGACAAGATGGCAAGCTGCTGGACAAGACCAACAACACCAAGCATGCAGCTCAACAGATCGCGGATATCATCCACAGCTGGGTACCAAACCGCACAACGGACCCAGACACACAACACGAATTGACCCAACTCAGGAGTCAACTTGCACAGCTACGTCAAAGAGTTGGGGAAGATACTGGCGACACTTCCACACCACCCACCACGGGTCCTTCGGCATCCAGTCCTGCCGCCACACCCATCCAACGGGCTCTCTTACACAACTTCAACACCCCTGCACCTCCACCGCCACCAGGATTTGATCCATCCAGTCTGCTTGTCTGCCCTTCCACAGTCAACCCCTGGCTGGCTCAACATATGCCACCAACTCTGGCAGTAAGGGCCTTCGGAAAGTGGCTTAAAGAACTCCCAATGTCCGAGCCCAAAAAAAGGTTCTCACCGACAACATCGCCAAGACCGAAAAATTAAAAGAATGGGCATTCCAGTCAGCCTTTTGGGCAAAAACTACGATGCCCTGAATCTTCTACGTGCCATGACTGCGGCCATCAGCCTCACCAGTTGGCTAGCCCCTCGACTCCGGAGGAAGCTGAAGCACAAAGTGCTCCAATCTCATCTTCAAATTCTCCACTCGATGATTCTCATCATCTACCTTTTGGCCCCCTTCACCATGACTCGCAGCATCCATCTTTTCCAAGGCTTCCGCATCATCCAAACGCGTATGATCGATGGTGCTTGCCGTAATCCATGGGCTTCGACCCAATCAGAAGCTGAAGTCAATTTTGGAAGGGTGTACAGATCTTACATACTTGTGGGGATCAACACTTCATACCCACAACCTCTTTTCAAGACCATTTTTCCATTCTCAAAGCGTCTATCTTCGTTTTACCCACATCACCAGCATGCAACCCAAGTTCTACATTGGCTCGGCAATAAATCACACCCTTGACAGGGAGTACAGTCGCTCCCGAAAGTACCTTCAACTCACCAATGAACGACTTGTACAAGCTGAACTGGCGAGAACATGACAACCTGTATATTTGGGCACCAATCCCAATATACACTGAAAGAGCCGACTATCGCAGCTTAGAAATGGCCATCATCCAAGAATGGCAACCCAGGCTCAACCATCCCTTCATTTGCCAATTCTTCCATCCCAGGAAAGGCATCCTCAAAAAACCTGCTTTGAACACCAATGCGCAGTTTGGTTTGGCCGCACTATGGCGTCGTGCAAAACACAAGTTCACTCCAAAGTTGGTTCGTCAGATTTTGACATCCACACGGTTTCAAAACCGTCTTGAACTATGGACCATTATCCACGCCCTTGGGTCAAATACAAAAGCCAGGTTCGAACAAACGAAGATGCTACGATCCAATGATGGAGGACTTACCCTTTGCTATGCTCTTCGACGCCTGGCCAACAACATTCAGGAGCCTTTTCGCACTCTCTCCCTCATGAATGCTATCGATGCCTCCATCAAATGGTGGAATGGAAAGCCAGCTCCACGTGCCACTGCACTCCGGGCCCCGTGGTCCCTCACTCCAAACCTTCAACTGCACCTCAAACAATTTCTACGAAAATGGCACCTACAAGTTCTCGCCCACTAAGTTCCGTGCCATACACCATCCTTCAAGATGGTATTCATCAAGCATGCAGCGGTCCTCGACCAACTGCGCAATCACAAACAAGCAGTCACTGACTGGTCCACCTCACAACCGGCTGAATGTTGTTGCAAAAACTGGGGAGCGTTCAAAACAGCGGCCCACATTGGGTCTTGGCCGGCTCTCTCCTTCAATCCTTAGTCTCGGAGGAGCTCGCGGTCATTGCGGAAGAATCCCTGTTGAACAAAGTGTTTCCCTCCAAAAAAGAATATCACAACCAGCTTCGACAAGGCCTTCAGTTTTGGACCAAGCGCAATGGTCTACCTTCCATGCCAAATTCCCGAGATTTCGGACCTGTGCCAAAAACTCTGGACAGAGCATTCAAAACAGGTCACGTGCCATATTACCAAATCCTCCATCAACCAATTCCAAAAAACCTTTGAAGGTGCCATCTTCCATTGCGAAGACAAACAATCATCATCCTTGCGCATCTACTGCCCGTGCCTCTACTACCAATCCATCGAACAAACATTCCAAGATCCTGCCATTTTCGAACCAGTGCCCCATGACCCAACTACCATTGTGTCATCACTTATCGAGACTCTCCAAAAACGTCACGGAAAATCCTATCACTGGGCAGTTGGCAACGGACGACAACTTCCGTCGGGTTACATCTTGGCAAAACGGAAGAAAGACTTTCGAAGCGGCAGACCCATCATTTCCTTTGTGGATTCCCCGTTCCGTCCCATGCTTAACATCCAGTTGATCCCAGTGGCCTGCCCGAATCACTTCGCGTCAGGGGATGTTTACACACTCCTGATCATTCTCAAGTCAGCGCCTGTCGACGCCGATTTCATCCTGGTCAACCAGGATCTAGCTGGATTCTTCACCGGCATTGACCAAGACCGATTCGTGGGCGCGTGGTTCATGCTCCTGGACTTCCTTCGACCCCACATGAATGTGTCCGACAATGAAGCATTCTCGGTCTATCCAGGAAAAACCAACAATCCAGGTGACATCATAAAAGGACGCACCTTCCGTCGTCTCAACGTCACTCGAAAAATCATCATAAAGGACGTTCCAGATCTAATCAAGTCAGCATTAAATATGCAAACATTCGCTCTTGGCCAAAAATGTATCCGCCAGTGCCGCGGCAGCCCCATGGGCAGTCCTCTGTCCCCAGCCCTGTGCCTCATGGTTGTCTCCATCAGTGAACAAATATGGTCCATCAATTTTAAACAAATCTTATCCAATCACAACCTCTTCATTCGCCACATTCGCTACGTGGACAACCGTCTGATCTTTGGGGACTCCCGCCTCATGCATCTCCCACCATACGAAGTGCTGCTTGATGACGGGTTCTACGGAAAACCCATCATCCTTGAAACAGAACCAGAACAAGAATTTCTTGGCTTCATGCTGGAAACAAAACCATTGGAACTGATTTATCAGGGTCCTATATACCAATGTCTCCCAAGTCCTTTCTCCTTTTTCAGCTTCTCCACCCAAAGTACTTCTGAGTGGTTTCCGATCTAGGTGTCACATCGTGGTCAAAGGAGCATTTCCGGAGTTTCGCGTTCGAAAAGGACTTGATCAGTTAATTCACCTGTACACTTTGGCTGGCTTTCCCAATGAGGAACTCCACCAAATCTCCACTCAGATTCTGACTCAGCATCAGAACCTTAGACGCATGAGCAAAAGTATGCAAGTCACGATCCTTTTCCTTCTTGCTACATCGACGTGCTGTTACTCCTGTTGCTTTTTGTGTGTTAATAATTTCCTGGAACACCACTTACTCCTTTGTTAAATTAATCGGCTTGGCTCAAACTCGCTTTCCCAGTTTCGCTCATCGTGTTTTCCTTCTATCATGGATCATGCTCAAGGCAGAGCATTTCACCACCACCTGGCTCGGGCTATCATGCATTTGAACTACCTAGCGGGACTTCTTCCTTTCTTTGAACCATCAATTGAATGGGACGACCCAATCAATGAACATCATCTCAGGCCCGGACGCTCGAACCCATCCCCGCGAAATCTACATACATTCGTCCCTCTGCCTGCCTCGCCGGCACCACCGACAATGCTATCTCATGGAGGTATTCCAACCCACATGGTTCGGAATCCCGAAGAAAATCTTCGTCCTCCCACGATTGCAAACACTGCACGAGAAGAAGAAGAAGGACACCACACCGTCGAAGTGACTCCCCGCAATCCTGTCTCAATTGGGGGCCATTCCTCAACACCGGCTATGGAAACCCCAAAGTGGGGCAGAACATTACCTGATTTCCCTCGTACGACCACTCGAACCACAACACCTGTCCCGGTTCGTTCCAAACAAAGATCCACTCCAGTGGATGATCCACAACCAAAGAAAAAAACAGCGTTCGACCCCATCGGCTCCTGAATCTACCTCACGTCCTCCTTCTCTCCCTATCATTGCAGAAATCCCTCCAAATGGTCTCAACTCTGACGACTCGGACGAAGATGAAGCTTCCAAAGCCCCTTCAGCCCATGGAACTTCAACAGTGGAAGTTGGTCCAACTTCAAACATAACGCTGCCGGCGAACACTCACACCACACCACATCCAGGCACTTCCACTCCTATCGAACATACATAATGAAACATGTTGGAATGTCACAAAGTGCCACGCCTGCCACGCGAAACGAGCCTGCACGACGATTAAAACCTCCAAAAGTGACCACTTTTGCAGAAATTGCCATAGGTACGGCCATGTTGCCCCCACGACGGTCGCTCGCAAACGGTTGCGGACGGTTGCAAACGGTTGCAAACCGTTGCAAAGGGTTGCAAACGGTTGCAACCGTTTGCGAACACAAAAGCAGCGTCGAGCGAACGCGTCTCAACTCCCGGCCAAAGTAAAACGAGAACCCTTCGCGACGCATTCGGGAAAAATGAAACTTGTAGCCGCAACTCGATGCGAGCGTACCCCTTTTTTGGCAGCTCAAAGCCACCCGTCACCACCGCAAAAAATCGATTGAAAGGCCAATGTTTTGCAATTGAATCAGGATTGAATCTGGCCACATGGACTCACCTCTCCCAACGTCGTGGTGAGTCCCTTTTGGGTTTCTTACATCGTCAGGAAGGAACTTGGTTGCACTCTCCCATACAAAAAAAAAACATGCTTCAAAAATTTGATGATTATCTGGCTGAATCTGGCTGTTTTGTACTTTGCGGGTCTTTGCAGGGTTTCGGGCTTTGAGAGGAACTCTCTACATCCCGTATGCAAGTAGAATAGAGCTAAGCCCAACAAAAGAATCCGATGGCCTTGCATGTTTCGAAACCAGGTGTAACTATCTGGTTTCAAGTGCCAGAATGGACGCGCAAGTTTGAAAAACCCGTTCACCATTGTTCACCACTTGAGCTCCACGCTTGGGAGACCACAACAGTCTTCAAGAAACGAAGCGCCCATGGCAACTCCTGTCATCTAGTCACAACGCTAGTCACATCTAGTCTTAGCCACAATGCTGTGCAGCAACCACTTTGACCATGTCCCGGCCTTGATCCAAAAGACAGCTGCCCATCTTCGCAAGGTCGATCCTGGAGGCGAATACACGAGGAAGCAACTTGTTACTTCATGATCTTCTTGTTTTTGGCATTGCCTGACACATTAGACTAAAGAATGGCCAGGAAAAAACTCGGTGTCTTTTGGTTGACTAGAGAATATGGCGGACATGGATCAATTTGATCCGACCTTGCACATCTATGAACGTCTGGTCATCTTCACCACCATTGCATCCCTCCACCCTCCCCACAGCGTCTCTTTCCTTTTTTTGAAAAAAATGACTCCTCTTCCATTCTTCCCGGGCACAAAGGCATCTGTCACCTCGAATACGATTGACTAGACCAAGGTAGGATTCCTGGTCCTGAGGAGTTTCTAGATTCGCACTGTGTCACAACACCGAGAATCAATGAGAATCATGTTTTCTTTATTTTGTCTTTTTGTCTTTGCACAAATGTGCGAGTGCAATGGCTGACACATCGCTTTTGCCACTGCCGGGAAGGTTTCTTCAGCTTTCGAATGTGTGTCAATAACATCGATGCAAAACACTTAACATACGAACTCTCCGTAACTCTCCCATAATCCACCATGGCACCTGCAGCCGAACCGAATCACTGAAGGGCAAACCTTCCGCTACGAACTGAAGCGTCAACACAACCTGAGTCGAGCAGACGGGTTTCTTTTGTTCTGTCTTTTTCAGAATGTTCATAGCTTGATTCATAAATGCCTATCACTGACTATCATGATTCGCAAGTGTTTTCCCCTTTGGGCCCTGAGTTGGATACTTCGTTGGCTCGCATGTTTAGCCGGCAAAGGGCTCTGCAGGTCCCATACTTGGGAAGAGTAAGCACAGAGAGCACGGCACTCGGCAAATCAGAAGGAATTGGCACTTTGTATTTGAGGCAACGAAGTCGATGATGCCTGGCTTTCAAAGATATCAAGCAAAACGAAAAACTGAAGTTACTTCAAACCCAAAAAAACTATGGAAGCAGACTTCAAACTGTGGAATTGAGAAGAGAAATCAAGCATAGCAAGAAACCCTTTACATAACATCAAAATTCAAACCAGTAGTTTGAGAACCCGCGCCCTTCAGACGGAACCGCTTCGAAAGATCAAAAGCCTATTATAAGGAGACCATTCTTCGCTGGTGCTTTGCTTTGGTGTCAATCAATGTTCAACGATGGCTTGGGACTCTGGGGCTGTTGACAGCAGTATTGATGTGGGTGTCAATTTCCATGTTTGCTGATGTCTGTTGACTGGTGCAGACCGTTCTTGATTGCAAAAACCGATCTGAACATAAACACCTTACAATGGAAAAGTCTTGCAGAGACCCCTGCAAATTAAAGCGATAAAAATTGCGCACGCCTGAGCCTGAGACTTGCTCACACCCACATTTATAACCGAAAACCTTTTACACCACGAATTTGAGATAAACCGTTTGCACCAACAACATTTGTAGTGCACTGACACAAACCCCAGCCCTGTACATAAAGATGCACCTAAGCAAACTTCCTAGGGAACAAAAGTACAAGCAGAAGTCTCAGTGGCATTACATTCAGTAGCTGGCATGCCTCTGCATTGCGCTATGTAATTTATTTCATCGCATGTGCGCATAATTATGTGCACTTTTTGCATTTTGTTTCATCAAACTACCTCAGTGCAGTCACACTGCTTGGTATAGGAGCAAAATGTTGCTGGATCAAGAGTTGTGCAAACGCAAATGATAAAAACAATACAGCAAAACTTTTCAAAAAGACAAGTCGCGGTTGTTGAGCTGGCCCCCAAGGCGAGGCAGTAATGTCAAAGCCGCCAGAATCTGCTTGAATAACCCTTTCCAAGAACGATGGCTGCAAAAGCGCTGTCGTGACTTCTTTCAATGTGATGCCCAAATCTGAGCTATACAGCGGCTGTGTCTGCAAGTAGTCCTCAACCTGCACGTCTGGGACCTTCAAAAAGGATGGGCACACACACCACACAGTGCATCCTCCTCTGCATGCCTCGCCTGCAAAGCTTCTTTCAAGAACCTCTGGTGAAGTTGCTGAAGCTTGGTGTCCTGCCATAAAACCAAGCAACCGTGCAAACAAATCTGACGCCCAGGGGTAAGGGACGAAAGCTAGCTTGGCAGGGAACTTGGCATGAAAACACAAAGGGCGCAGCGCAGCTGCACAGTTTTTTCGTCAACGTGGACGAGCGGGTCTGAAGCTGGGGCATGTTGGTAAGGTGAACATCCAGACCTACGTATTGAGGCGATGTATGTTGGAGGGGACGAGGATGAGAACATATGATTATGATGTACCGTTGCACGAAGAGGATGAAGAAATTTAGCATAGCCAACATGATGACCAGTGATTGGGAAAGATTCAAAAAGTCCACTTTTGACAACTTCGGCTGAGGATGAGAGTTAGGTGTGCGTGTGCAGCATGAAAATGAAGCTAGGCAAAGATGAAGGCTACCCATGCATGCATCAATGAATGGAAGAGAAATGAGGCATGCCCTATTGACGATGCAAATCACGCAGAGGATGCCAACGCTGCCGATGTTGCTGGCGGTGTCCCAGGGGGGATTGAGCCCATGGCCAAACTGCTTGTGAACCAGCCAGCAAAGGTGTAGTTAACCGAGAAGTTTCTCGCGATTGGAGATTCCAGGCCCCCAATACCTTGCTAAAGCAAGAGGGACTTCAGCTAGCAGAAGCTAGATTTTGTGACATTACATTCACATGAAGTGATTCAAAACAAGATGCCTGATGCACATATGATCATGAAAAGTCTAGCATTCATTTACTGCTCATGCTAGTTCATGCTCATTGCTGCGCAACACTGAACCCGAATGTGCTAAATGCATACCTGAGAAGGGGGGAACGAAAGCCAGCATCCCATCTATCCCTATATTCCCCCAAAGCTTTTTCACCCACAGACTTTTCACCCATATACGTTTCACCCCCAGACTTTTCACCCAGAGTCTTTCATCCATATACTTCTCACCCAGATACTTTTCACCCACAAACGGTTCAACCATATACTTCTCACCCACAGACATTTCCCCCATATACTTTTCACCCACAGGCTTTTCACCCACATACTTTTCACCCACAGGCTTTTCACCCATATACTTTTCACCCAGAGACTCTTCACCTAAAGACTCTTCTTGCACAGACTATTCACCCAGAGACTTTTCACCCACAGGCTTTTCACCCACATACTTTTCACCCACAGACTTTTCACCCATATACGTTTCACCCACAGACTTTTCACCCACCGTCTTTCACCCATATACTTCTCACCCATATACTTTTCACCCAAGACTGTTCAACCGTATGCTTTTCATCCACAGACTTTCACCGATGCACTTTTCGCCCACAGACTTTTCACCCACAGAGTTTGCACCTCAGGTTTTTCACCCATACCCGTCTCACCCACACACTTTTCACCCACAGGCTTTTTACCCATATACTTTTCACCCAGGGACTTTTCACCCACAGTCTTTCACCCATATTATACTTCTCACCCATATACTTTTCTCCCGCAGACTGTTCAACCATATACTTTTCACCCGCTGACTTTTCACCCAGAGACCCTTCACCAATATACTGTTTACCCATTCAGGTTTCACCCACAAACTTTTCACCCAGGGACTTTTCACCCACAGTCTTTCACCCATATACTTCTCACCCATATACTGTTCACCCAAGGCTGTTCAACCATATGCTTTTCACCACAAGACTTTCACCCATACACTTTTCACCAACAGACTTATCACCCGCAGACTTGTCACCCACAGACTTTTTAGCCACAGCCTTTTCACATATATACGTTCACCCAGAGACTCTTCACCCAGAGACTCTTCTTCCACAGGTTTTTCATACTTTTCACCCTGAGGCTCTTGACCAATATACTGTTTGCCCTCAGAGTTTTCACCCACATACTTTTCACCCATATATTTTCACCAATACATTTTTCGCCCACATTTTTTCACCCACACTCTTTTCACCCACAGGCTTCGCATCCCCCGACTTTACACCATACCCGTTTCACCTGTATACTTTTGACCCACGGGCTTTTCACCCACACACTTTTCACCCACAGACTTTTCACCCAGAGACTCTTCACCAATATATTTTTCACCCTCAGATTTTTCCCCTATATACTTTTCACCCACAGACTTTCCACCCATATACTTTTCACCCAAAGACTTTTCACCCACAGACTGTTCAACCATATACCCTTCACCCCCAGGCTTTTCACCCAGAGACTCTTCACCAATATATTTTTTACCCTCAGATTTTTCCCCCCTATACTTTTCTTCGACCAAGTACTTTTCGCCCATGCACTTTTCGCCCTTTCACCTGTATATTTTTCACGCGTAGACTTTTCACCCACAGACTTTTTACCCGCAGACTTTTCACCCGCAGACTTGCACCCATAGGCTGCCATAGACTTTTCGCCCAAAGATTTTACACCCACAGGCTTTGCACCCTCAGGCTTTTCACCCATGCTTGTTTCACCCACATACTTTTGACTCACGGACTTCTCACCCGCACACTGTTCACCCACAGACTGTTCAAGCATAAACTTCTCACCCACACTTTTCACCCACATACTTATCACCCGCAGACTTGTCACCCACAGACTTTTTAGCCACAGACTTTTCACATATATTTTTTTTTTCACCCAGAGACTCACTCTTCACCCAGAGACTCTTTTTCCACAGACTTTTCACCCTCATACTTTTTCACCCACAGACTTTTCACGCATATACTTTTCACCCACAGACTTTTCACCCGCGGTCTTTCACCCATATATTTCTCACCCACAAACTTTTCACCCAAGACTGTTCAACCAGAGACTTTTCACCCACAGACTTTTTCAGGCATCGCCTCGTCACCCATATACATGTCACCCATATTTTTCACCCGAGACCTTTCACCCGGAGACTCTTCTTCCACAGACTTTTCACCCACAGACTTTTCGCCCTCAGACTTCCAAGGATCCTTACACTCATATTTTCATCACCCCTTTCCAAAGATCCTAATTTCATATCCTTTACCAACAGAAGTTTCTTCTCCATAGCGACTGTGCCTCCATTCACGGACCCTTACCTCTGCCCTCCCCACCTCATATTTTCGTCACCCCTTTCCAAAGCTTCCTAATTTCACCAAAAAAACACTGCAAAAAGCATTGACGGAGCCGACACAGCAGTCTCACCTTCTGCTATGTTATCACCCCTTTCCAAAGTTTCCTAATTTCACATCCCATGCTGACAGAAATTCCAACTCCACTACAGGGAACGGTCCAAGAGAATAGTGGTCCCACTTCGGACCCCACTGCATATTTTCGTCACCCCTTCCAAAGCTTCCTAATTTCACATCCTATACTGACAGAAGTTCCTTCCAATCCTTGCGAACATAGTGGTCCAACATCGGAGCCCAACAGATAGGGGTAGAAGGGTAATAGAGAGACATAAAGAAAAGTAAGTAGCCATTGCATTCCCACCTTTCCAAGCAATGCTGTTGCCTCTGTCCTCATTCCGGTCTCTGTATCGCCTCCCAAATTGCACCTGCAGGGACCTTTCCAAGCAATGCCTTTACTTCTGACCTATTCTATTCCAGTCTCTCTATCGCCTCCCAAAATGCAGCTCCAAGGACCTTTCCAAGCAATGCCTTTACCTCTGGCCTCATTCTAGTCCGGTCTCTCCATCACCTCCCAAAATTGGGACGGGCAAAGGCATGATGCTTTGCCGCGTGTGCTACACACGTGCGCAAGAACTAAGGATGCGCTTCTGTCCTTTGCCTCATTCACTTCCAAAGCATCCTATACTGACAGAAGTTCCTTCTCATCCTTGCGACAATAATGGTCCTACATCGGAGCCCAGCAAATACAAGTAGATGGGCACAGTCTCGTCGACATCCTATACTAACAGAAGTTCCTCAAGCAATGCCTTTCTCTCTGGCTCCCTTCTATTCCAGTCTCTCCCAAAGCATCCTATACTGACAGAAGTTCCTTCTAATCCGCGGAACCATAATGGTCCCACATCGGAGCCAAACAAATACAAGTCGACGAGTACATTCTCGTCCACATCCCGGCGACCTTTCCAAGCAATGCCTTTTCCTCTGGCTGGCTCCCTTCTTTTCCAGTCTCTTCCAAAGCATCGTATACTGACAGAAGTTGCTTCTAATCCTTGGGACCATAATGGCCCCACATCGGGACCCAACAAATACAAGTCGACGAGTACATTCTCGTCCACATCCTATACTGACAGAAGTTCCTAATCCTTGCGACCACAATGATCCCACATCTGAGCGCAACAGAAGGGGTAGAAGAGTAAGAGACAGATGCATATTCTGGTCCGATCTCTCTGTCGCCTCCCAAAATACACCTCCAGCAACCTTTCCAATGCCTTTTCCGCTGACTCCCTTCGATTCCAGTCTCCCTATATCGCCTCCCCAAATGCACCTCCGAGGGTGGACCAGGGGGGAATCGATACCCCACCGTCACCCAATTGCCACCTGGTACATACCCCTTGCCCGCTCTACCCCCAGACCCCCTTAAGTCACTTTGTTCGCAAAAAAAAACTTCGCCTAGCCTAGCGGCTGACTTTCGTAATAATACAATAATACATAAATGCACATCTGTGTCCTTGGAACCTCTGCAAGGCCGCAGGGCTACTCCAGTGCCGCCTCACGGTCCAGATGCTGTCGGAGTTCACACTCTGCGACGGTTCAAGCAGTGGTTGGGCAAAAGGTGTTCTCGGCTGAGTCTGCTGTGGTTTCCTCTTGAGGCCAGCAATTCTTCCAGTTCTTGGATCCTGGCGCTGCATCGAACACTTCAGTTCCACCCGAACCTGCAATACCATGGAATATGACGATGATGCCCCTCTCTATAGCGAACGAATACCGAGAACCCCTTACAGGGAGATTGATTGGTTGCATTCAACCAAGACCTGTCAATCCCATGTCCTTCTCCGCAACTCTGCTTCGCGGCTTTCTGCACTCCTGGCGTCCAAAGCTGTCCCAATTTTGGTTCCTGCCAAGGGTTCCTCGTTTAGTCTGCGTGTTGTTTTTACGCCACTTGAAAATGGTGCCACTCAGTTTTGCCATTGCTGCCATCGCTGTAGCTGCTGCAGCACATTTCTATGGTTCTAATTGCAAGCTCCTCATTCGGTTTGCCAAACAAGGTCCAGCCACTTCAGCACAGTTGTGACCTTGGAGTGAACTATGGTTGGTTGTTCATGGCAGCGTCAAGCAGTAAACAATCGCAAACATTCAATAGCTGTGACAACTAAGGGCTGCGGCAAGTCAACATATGGCAGAGTGAGCACTTCTGCCCTGAACGGTAGGATGACCATGAAAACGGCTGTTTTTATTTTGCGCCCAACTTTGGTGTGTATTTTTGTGTTTTTGAAAGCAATATATATATATATATATATGCTGTAATGTTCTGGATGCTATGAGCACTTCTATTTGCAGCTTGAACATTTGTAGCAACAGCGCGACAATGAACGCTCCTAAAACACTCCTTGGTGCCAAAGGCCCACCAAGAACGTATCGCACTGACTGCACCATCCAGGATGCGACAATGTTTCCACCTGCAAATGAATTCCATTCCGGAAGTCGATGGAAGGTTGTTTCAATGCTGGAAGCAAAGAAAAGAAAATTGCAATCCAATGCCGGCATCAAGGAAAGAGAAAACCCGTTGCTGGCTTATGAAAAACAATTGGAAGGAACGGACAAACACCAGCGGCACCACGACTTGTTTACGTAAGGGTCTGCAGGGTATATGTGAACCCCGACCTGTTTGGCTATGTTTTAGTTGTTTTGGTTTTTGCAGTTGCGGTTGAGGTTGAGTTTTCTTGCTTTTGTCAGGAAAATAAAGGAAAAACGGTCAAACAGCGCCTACCAAAAGAACAGGTTCTGAGGGCTTGAGGCCGTGCAGGAAGTCCAGCCAGATGTGGCAAGCTGGGGGCTGCAGGTACTATATGATGCATAGCAAAGTATACTATAGCATATAATATAATATAATATAATATAATATAATATATAGCATATATATATATATACATAGCAGATATATACGATATATATATTATATATATATATTATTTTATGAATGTATATGAAAATTGGATTACAGTAGCAACAGCAATGATTGCAAATAGGAAGGAATTTGATGGTAACTGAAAATGTGTTTCCACCACTCTCCAATTCAGGTTCCATGTGCCTCAAACTGGTGACCCTCCACATTGTCTTCTGAATCTTCTTCTTCTTCACTACAATCCTGGAAAGTGCAAATTCTCAAGGCTATGGTTGCGACTTGTGGTTTCTGACTGGTCTCTTGGGTATCCTCCTGTATATTTTGGGAGCAAAATGAGACGCAGCAAAGTCCAACGTGCACGCAGCCAAATCGCAAGTTGACTAGAAAGAGCGCAAAGGCATTGTGGTTTGAATGAATCTACGCACTTCATTTGCCAAGACTATGGAAGTGAGCTTAAAACACAGACCACCAAAAAAACATGCACCATTTTTGTTTATCATGTTGGGCCTGCGGGCGCGTTGCAGTCACAGATCCGGACAGGGCACCTAGTTCCAAATTGCTCCACCTGGACAAGGATAAAGATTGAATGTAATTCTGAATGGCTCCACGTGTGAGATTGTGGGACAATTTGCCACAGTTTTAGAATTGCCTTTCAGACGTTTCAACTGAAGTTTCTTCTGCGTCTTTGAGTGGACGAACGGAGGAGTCCTGGCAATGAGAAAAACAAAATGACATGCGGCACTAAAGTGTCATGTTTTGCCGTGAAACAAATCGAAACCTCATCAGATTCTCCACTGGCAGAGGTGTCTTCTTCTGACACTGAAGATTGGTGGCAACATCGGCACCTAGCAGAACGCTTGAAAATCGGCGAAAGAACGCTGCCATTGAACGGAAATTGCCAAAGAACTTCCAAATCAAAGTAAGGCCGACGCAATGCAAACTGACAGCAGCGATGGCAACAAAGAAACAT